GAAACTCCTTAAACTGATAAGCAACTTCAGCAAAGTCTCAGGATACAAAATCAATGTGCAAAAATTACAAGCATTTCTCTACACCAATAATAGAGAGCCAAATCATGAGTGAATTCACATTCACAATGACTACAAAGAGAATAAAATACCTATGAATGCAACTTATGAGGGATGTAAAGGACCTCTTCAAGGAGATCTACAAACCACTGCTCAAGAAAATCAGAGAGGACACAAACAAATGAAAAATCATTCCATGCTCATGGATAGGAGGAACCAATATCGTGAAAATGGTCATAATGCCCAAAGTAATTTATAAATTCAGTCCTATCCCCATCAAGCTACCATTGACTTTCTTCACAGAATTAGAAAAAAACTACTTCAAATTTCGTATGGAACAAAAAAAGGAGCGCACATAGCAAAGACAATCCTAAGATAAAAGAACAAAGCTGGAGGCAGCACGCTACCTGACTTCAAACTATACAGGAACCAAAATAGCATGGTACTGTTACCAAAACAGATATATAGACCAATGAAACAAAACAGAGGCTTCGGAAATACCACCACACAGCTACAACCATCTGATTTTTCACAAACCTGATAAAAACAAGCAATGAGGAGAGGATTCCCTATTTAATAAATGTTATTGGGAAAACTGGCTAGCAATATGCAGAAAACTGAAACTGGAGCCCTTTCTCATACCTTATTAAAAAAATTATCTCAAGATGGATTAAAGCCTAAAATGTAAGGCCTAAAACCATAAAAACCCTAGAAGAAAACCTAGGCAATACCATTCAGGACATAGCCATGGCCAAAGACTTCATGACTAAAACAACAAAAGCAATTGCAACAAAAGCCAAAATTGACAAATGGGATCTAATTAAACTAAAGAACTTTTGCACAGCAAAAGAAACTGTCATCAGAGTGAACAGGCAACCTACAGAATGGGAAAAAAATTTGCCCATCTGACAAAGGGCTAATACACAGAATCTACAAAGAACTTCAACAAATTTCCAAGAAAAAAAACAATCCCATGAAAAAGTGAGTGAAGGATATGAACAGACACTTCTCAAAATAAGACATTTATGTGGCCCACAAACACATTAAAAAAAAAGAAGCTCATCGTCACTGGTCATTAAAGAAATGCAAATCAAAACCACATTGAGATACTATCTCACGCTAGTTACAATGGCAATCATTAAAATGTCAGGAGACAACAGATGCTAGAGAGAATGTGGAGTAATAGGAACACTTTTACACTATTGGTGGGAGTGTGAATTACTTCAGCCATTGTGGAAGACAGTGTGGTGATTCCTCAAGGATCTAATATCAGAAATACCAGTTGACCCAGCAATCCCATTACTGGGTATATACCCAAAGGATTATAAAACATTCTACTATAAAGACACATGCACGCTTATATTTATTGTAGCACTATTTACAATAGCAAAGACTTGGAACCAACCCAAATGCCCATCAATGATAGACTGTATAAAGAAAATGTGGCACATATACACCATGGAATACTATGCAGCCATAAAAAAGGATGAGTTTATGTCCTTTGCAGGGACATGGATGAAACTAGAAACCATCATTCTCAGCAAACTAACACAGGAATAGAAAATCAAACATTGCATGTTCTCATTCATAATTGAGAGTTGAACAATGAGAACACCTGGACACAGGGAGGGAAACATCACATAATGGGGCCTGTTGGGGATTAGGGAACAAGGGGAAAAATTGCCTAATGCATACAAGGCTTAAAACCTAGATGACAGGTTGATGGGTGCAGCAAACAACCATGGTACATATACACATATGTAACAAACCTGCACGTTCTGCACATGTATCCCAGAACTTAAAGTATAATATAAAAAAATAAAAAGACTTTTTTTCTTATTTCTTTTTTTTTGTTTTGTTTTGTTTTGTTTTTTGTTGTTGTTGTTGTTGTTGTTGTTGAGATGGAATCTCCCTCTGTTTTTCAGGGTGGAGTGCAATGGCATAACCTTGGCTCATTGCAACCTCCACCTCCTAGGTTCAGGCAATTCTCCTGCCTCAGCTTTCCAAGTAGCTGGGATTACAGGAACATACCACCATACCAAACTAATTTTTGTATTTTTAGTAGAGATGGGGTTTCACCAGGTTGGCAAGGCTGGCCTCGAACTCCTGACCTTGTGATCCACCCACCTCAGCCTCCCAAAGTGCTGAGATTACAGGCGTGAGTCTTATTTCTTTTTGTAGCTTTTTGAATGTATTGAAAGCAAAAGAAAAAAACAATGCACAATGTATTATGAGGTTTAACATGTGTAGAAGTAAAACATATGACAACAATAGGAAAAAGTCTTGAGTGGGGGAATAGAAGTACATTAAATTCTTATCTTATGCTTGAAGTGGGCTGTGATAAATTAAAGTTATATACTAAAAACCCTAAAGGAACCACTAAAAGAACAAAGCATTGTATCTAATATAATCCGAAGAGGTAAAATGGAATCATAAATAATAATGCAAAAGAAGGTAGGAAAAGAGAAAAAGTAAATAAAGAACAAATAAAAGGCAAATAGCCAGATGGCAAATTTTAAACCAATCATATCAATAATCACATTAAATAAAAATGGTCAAACCATCCCAATTAGAAGGCAGAGAGTGTCAAATTGGATAAAAAAGGAAGACCCAACTCTAGGTTAACTATAAGAAACCCAGATTAAATATAAAAATAATTCATGTGTGGTACATGATTGTGGTACCAGCTCCTCAGAAAATAGAAATTAAAGTCCAGCCTGGGCAATATTGCCAGACTCTGTCTCTAGAAATAAAATTTTTAAATGTTTAATAAAAAATATCTATAAAAACACAAATAGGGCTGGGTGTGTGTGGCTCAAACATGTAATCTCATGGCTTTGGGAGGCTAAGGTGGGAGGATCACTTGAAGCCAGGAGTTCAAGATCAGCCTGGGCAGCATAACAAGACCTCATCTCTAAAAAAAAAAAAAAAAAAAAAAAAAAAAAAAAAAAAAAAAAAAA